TGTAATTGCAAAAGTAATTTCAAGAATCTTAATAAAGTACTAGCGTGACTGCTTAAGTTTAAAAAAAAAAAAAAAAACTATAAACATCAGTCTTAGCAAAAGCAAAAAAAAGAGTTATTAGCAAATTTTTTTTACTAATAATAATTTCTTTTAGATTTATAGTATAGTTTTTAAATTTTTTTTATAAATTAGTTTTTTTTGTTATTTATTTTTATAACTCTTTTTTTTTATTTTTATTTATTTTTTATAAAATGTTATTAAATTAGTAATATTTTATTATAAAATAGGATTTTAACAAAACCAGCAACTGCTATTTGTAGTTTTGTGATTAAATTTCAAAAAAGTTTGAAATTCAATAATTAGAAAAATGGTTTGCTATAACAGGTCACATTTAGAAATCAAATGAGTTTTATTTGTAAACAATTAATTTAAATATATAATATTTTTGATTTTTAATAGTAAAAGCTTCATCTAGATTTAGCAATAAAGAAAACCGCTTAGGGAAAAATTTAGTAATTAAAACATATAATTTGATTTAAATTTTAAAATTTTAAAGTTGCAATCTAATTGACTCTTATTAAATGCAAATGTTTTTAAAATACAAGTTGTAAACTTGTACTATATATGTAAACAATTTTTTTTGATTTTATAATCAAAATTATTTTAATATTAACTATATTAAACTTAATTTTAATTTGGTAAAAAAAACTTTTTAAAAATTTTTGATTAAAAATCTATATTTAACAAAAAAAAAATATATACGTATATACTATATATATTTACATATTTAAACTTTAATACTTATAAAGTATAAAATTAGCACCAAAAAATAAATAAATAAAGTATAAAATTTTATACTACATTTACGGTATTAAATAATTATTCAATAAATACTTGAATAACCAAGACAACATAGGACATTGGTTTATTATTGATTATTTAAAATTAATGATAAACCAATGTTCTATTTTTCTATAGCAGCACTTATATTATAATAACACAATATATTTTATATTTAATAAGTATATATTTATAAGCACTTTAATAAAAACTGTAATGTAAAGATGATAAGTAGAATAATGATGGCACAAAAATTTTACGGTACCGTGCTCTCCTAGTCAAATTGGAATAGTAAGCGTCCAAAAAATCACTTGTCAAATTGTTGAAATCATGAAAATTGGACAAAAAAATTTTTGCAGAACTCGGGCATGATTTAGAGCATCACGCTTAAAAACAGCCAATTTTTACTAACCTTAAAATAAGACCCAAGTCGCAAATTACAATTTATATTTGTTTTTTTCATAAATATAGCATCTATTCAAATAATCATTCAAATAAATAGCATAAATACAGTACGTTTATACAAAAGAATATAACAAAATTAAAAATCATTTAAATTATCGTGAATATATATTTGTTGTATTTACAAATATCCATTTATTACATTACTTTGGAAGTTCATCTTTACAAATTAATAACTCAGATGCTTATAAAGAAATACGATAATGAATATTATAATATACTTTGATTTATGAAACCAATCTAGCAATATATATAATCATCCTCAACAATATAAACGCTACATAGGAAAAAATGACTAAAATGAAAAAATATTTTAAAATCAAATAAGATTAATTACTTCAGTTAAAAAAACTTTCGAAATCAATGAGATGTCGAAAAGTTCAATTATAACACGTTATTAAATAGTAAAAACGACAATGATAAGTGTGTTACCCTTTATTGGGTTATACAGTAGATACACAGGCAACTTTTCCTTCTTCCAATAATCCCTGCCCGATTAGATATTGCTGTAGACTATCTAATAATTCGAGCTGGTCGGATGGTTTTAAGGAGTTTACGATGGTATAAAGTACGGTGCCGACCGATAGTGACGTAGTCTTTGATGGAGTAAAGAATATGATAAGTAAAAAGATAAAAGACGAGAAAAATAAATTACAAAATTATATAAGAAAATAGAAACCTTGATGAAACTTTGGTAATACATATAAGAGAATAAGCCCATAAGAAACTGGCAATCCATACGATCGGTGATACCACCATGTCCGGGAATCGAATCACCAAAATCCTAATGGATATAGGTTAGGTTAGAAATCTTTAAATGATGACACAATAATAAATATAGGAAATATTACCTTTAAATTAAATGCTCTTTTTACACCACTAGCAAAAAAACCACCAAAGGGGGCAATTAGAGAAGCAAAGCAAGCCATAACAAGAACGTGCCATTGAAATGGGGCGATCCAGACCCAACGGATATCGGTGAAAGTCTAAAAAATATATATATATATATATTTATTTATTTAATATTTGATAAAGAAAAATGCTTGTACACGCAGATCACTTACAAATCTTCTAAGCAGACTAGATAACCAAGGACTAAGCATATATTTTTGAGGAATGAATACCGGGTTTGGTTCACAAGTCATACCAGACCACGCAAAAGTACTACTGAGATCCTAAGCAAATGTAGAGATTATAACAATTGGATAATCAATAAAAATGGATAATATACAATAGGATTAATGATATAATACCTTGCTAACAGGACAAATCATGTAATCCCATCTCATTAATAACGAAGCCCACTGTAAGAAAAAAAATGGATGAAAAATAAAATTCGAATAAATAATGATATATATAAAAGTACAATAAAATAAGAAGGAATACTCACAAAGAAACCAAATATCATAGTGAAAATCCAACCACCTACAAAACCCTCCCAAGTCTTTTTAGGGCTTAACTTTATCAAAGGAGTTTTACCCCAAAAAAAGCCGCATATATAAGCAAAAATGTCATTACATATTACCAAAGATACAGGGAGCAAGAACCTGATGAACAAAAAAAAAATTAGATGAAAAAGAATAATAAACATAGCTTAGTTAAGTAATTCGTACCAAATCAAGCCTTCAAATATATTGTTGACTATGAAATGACTCTGACATACGACAATCAGTAAAGTCATATGTGTCCATGCGAATTGGGTGAATTGAAACTTGTAATGACCCTTTTTGAGATTTGCAACAAATAATACGAATCCTAGAAAGAAAGAATAAAGGCATTAGTGGGAGATCACGTGAACATCAAAGCGATAATGATGAACATAGACTTACCTATACAGTATAAGGTGAATGAAATAAATCGATGGTGTGTAGCCAAAGGGAGAAGAAGAGCATCGACCAAAACAGCTTTCTTGAAATAGTAAATAATAGATTCACCGTATAGAAAATAATTAGTGCTAAGCAGGAAATACCTAAACATATGAAAAAGTAAGATTAAAAATGTTCAAAGTAACAGGGACAAATATAGAAGATACATACCAATTGAGGGATTTAAACCAAGGTAATTTCTTTTCTTTACTCGGTACATGAGTCAGAGCGATGACTTCTCTAAATACACACGTTTGAATGATCACCACAAGAATAACGACCATCGAATGTCCCAAAGCCAAACAAATGAAAAAACCACCAATCATGATGAAAGTCCAAAAAGTTCGAACACTCATGTTCTTCCACTTTTTTTTATTATCATCATTGATCTTTTGTTCCTACATTTTCAAGTAAAGGATTTCAATATTTTAGTAAGAATTTGAACAAATCACGAAAATAAGTGGATACGCGTAATTAACACTTTAGAATTAGGGACTTTTGAAATAATTAACACATTTGTGATTATTTATGTACAGAGAAAAGACTTTCAGTTTTTACCACGCCATTATGGTTTGAAAATTCGGTCTCATTGTTAGTATGTTCGAAACCGTTTTGATTTAGTAACGCATCGTGGGTCTTTCCACCCTTCTTTTTTTTTGTCATTTTTGTCAATTTAACATATAAAAGGTATTTGTATGAACATTAAAAAGAAACAAATATTGCACACGAGATCAAAATTTGCTAATGTTAACTCAAGGTTTATATAAAATATATAAAGTATAAAATATCGTATATATATATGTTTATAATTTTCTAGAAGACGGTTTAGTAAAATAAGAGTCAGGTGGTAGTATGTATTTCGAACACGTTATTTTTTTTTTTAAACAGCCATATAAATTTAATTGGTTAGTCTATGACGTACATATGATCGAAATGCTCGTGTTTATACGTACGAATCTTAAGAATTCAATTTTGCAAGAATATGCATAAGATAATTGTTACATGGAATTCTTAGATTGCATGTACGTAAGTACATGCATAACAGTAACTCCAATGCGTAATTTAAAAAGAGTTAAAGACAACTTTTGACAAGGTGTTGACAAGTAAAGAATCTTGTTCAAATCGAATAAGTATATAGTGTGTATATAGTAGTGTGTTAAGATATTGTTTGAATGATTATTTTCGGTTTTAATCAAATGGTATGATTTAACGATCATGTAGCGATTTTAAAACCTAGTTCATGCCAAGTTTATACATGAACTTTAACCAGTTCAATTTATTTTAGTTGAATTATTAGTAGATTGGATTTTGTGAACTTAAGGCAATTACTATTTGTACACTAGTTATCAAACACGGATGCTTATAATACTCAAAATTTTATATATGAAACCACCTTTGGGGTTCTAATAAAAAATATTCTTTGCAAAATTTTAGTATAAGCTAAAATCTTATCCTTATACGTATAACTTTAACTTAATCGTTGAATTTGGATTATATTGATCTACAAATTATACCCGTGATTGCGAAGAGTTAACTCATGCGGATAGATCGACCCGAATTATGGGTCGGATTTCATCGGATTTAGGCCGGCATTAAGAAATAACAAACTAACTAGATGACCGTCACTCAAAAAACTTTCGAACATCACGTGAAAAATATATCGAACACTAAAAATTCATGTAACTCAATTCAGCCTAACAAAATAATAATGATAAGCAATAAATTAAGGTTCCGGTTTAACTTCCCGAAATCCATTTTTCTGATCCATTTTACTAGCAGGACAGAAATAGGTCTGTGCCATTTCACCGAAAACCCATTTTACTAGCAGGATAGTATGTGCCATTTCGCCGAAAATCCATTAATCGATAAATTTATTTCACCAACAATTATTTCACTGACAGGTTTTTTTAAAAATTGCTCTAATTCTAAACTTGACCCTAACGATAATGACCAGAATTGCTTTGTCGGTGAAATAAACTGTCAGTGAAACAAACTTGTCAGTTAATTGATATTCGGTGAAATGACAGACCTATTTCTGTCCTGTTAGTAAAATGGATTGTCGGTATTACGACTTCGGTGAAATGGTATTTCAGAGCAACAATCATAAATTAATTATTTTATAAATGTAAGCTCATATATCTTAGTTTACTTTGATATTCTTATATTAAAGTTTGCATTTAAAAAAATATAAGCAAGATTTTATCTTAAGGACACGCAAATTTAATATCTTGGTTTTCATAATATGAAACTTTTGAACAGACCCGGCCGGCTTTTTTTTTAAAAATTTTCATATATAAATTTTATGAAATTTTTTTTAAAAAACCCACCCGGTTATTAAAACATATAAAAAAAAATTTTTTTTTTACAAGCTTTTAAAATTTGACCCGGCCGGGTTATGAAAACAATTAATTAATCTTGTATGGCCTAATATCAAACAAAACCCCAATAATATATTATAAAAATAATTATATATATACTAGCTGTGAACTCATTGCTACACAACAGGAAAAATATAAAATATAAAATCTTATTTCGAATTAAATAAAATTAATTAAAAATTAAAAACTATAAAGCATATTATTAATTCTGGTATTCAAGCAAAATAAAAAGTAATGTATTACTAATTTTTTTATATTATACTGAATCTTGTAATTTAAATAAATTACCATCCATTATGACCTTTGAATTATTGGCTTAGTCTCATAATGTTTTTTATAATATTAAGTGAAGCACATCTTTTGAAACTATTAACTTATTGGTCCAACATAAAGATAAAAACAAATGTTTGTAAAAAAATCGAATTTGTCTACAAATAAAAAGATATAAACAATAAAATTTTAAGTGATTCATATTCTTCATTAAAAAAGTCTTTTAAAAAAACTTAAAGATTATATTTATTGTTTGATAACAATTTATATATAAATATATATACTAAAACCATTTTTTAGTTAGTAATCAAAATTGAATTATCCATAATAAAATCTGAATTACAATAATATATACCTGGCAAATTTGTTTGACTACCATTTTTTGCAAGTGATGCTAAAGTTATTTGTCATTTACTATTTAACAAAATAAGCAGTTACGTTTATTAGTATTAGTTTAATATTAATATAAAACAGTTTTATTTTTACTTAATATATTCAATTAAAATTATTTAAAAAAATGAATATAAGATGTTTTTATTACAGTAATGTCAAAATAAAAAATAAATTTTAACTATTTTAATAATTTAAATACTATACTATGTTTAGTTCTAACTACTGTACTATGTCTAATTTAATTACTATATTATATTCAAAACCTAACACCTTTGCTATATCCAAAATTCAACTATTATGTTATATTTAAATTTTATTAATTATACTACATTTAGTTCTAACAACAATAACAATATTTTTTTTTTTTTTCAGTATTAAGGTGACCTCTTTGGTTCAAGCTTTTTATTAATACTTATAGCAGATATATGTTTATATAGACATATCTATAATGAACTATTAGACGAGTATACAGCTGGCTACATGTGTAACTTTTCTATATTACTTATTTAAGGAGTCTGCTCGAGGGTTCCCTACCAGTTGTCATACCTAACACCCCTGCTTAGATGTTCTATTTAAACCCTTTGATCTAACTCTAGTATTAATTTCACCAGGTCACAGACTCAGATCTATTTGCTATTAACCATAGGACTATAATCTTTAGACTATTTTTATCCTTAAAGCAAACCTACCAGAGTGAGCCGTATTCTCTTTTACCACTAATCTGGTTTAATGCTATAGTCAAGACCAACACTTGCAATCAGGATTACTCCTTAAATTACTATTACCCTTGTAAAGTTTACCCAAATTCTGGTACTCATCTTTTTGACTTCTTCTCTATCATCTCCTACTAGCTGCAACTTGAAACTAACTGACATTTCAGACTCCCAATCCAGATGGCCCAGTATGGTATACTTATATATCCTTTTCCTTCAACGATTCTAGTAGCCTAGTTGGTCATATGTTCCTCAACACATCTTTGTTATCCAGTTTATCTAACAGTTTCTATGAAGATGTTTCATAGGTTTCCATCAGTTCAATGGCACCATTGAAAGTTTGTGCTACCTTTTTACTCGGGATGTTCAAGTGAGTTTCTATCTTTTCAGTTTCTTAGCCTTTTACACCCAGTGGTCTTATCGTGGGTTTGCCCAAAGCCTTATATGACACTGGTTTTACATTTCTCTATGTACATATATTGTATAACGTTACACTATGCATAGATGCCCTGAGCTTCCAATGTCAGGTGAGACCTGACTTGATATACTTAAGATTACAGATGCCCAAAACTCAACCGATCGGCAAGAGACAGTTATCATAACACAGATATAATTTCCAAAATTCATTGTCCGTGGGAATTGAACCTTAGACCTGCCACTTAAAGGTTGACAACCTATCTACTTTACTAGGTCGTCATACCTCCAACAATAACAATATTATGTTTAGCTTTAATAATTATACTATATATATTTAGTTTTAACAATTATATTATATTTAACTTTAATAATTATATTATTATTATTATTATTTTTAATATTTAAAGTGATCTTTTTAATCTTTTGATTTTATTAATACTTTTGTTAAGCATCATGATGAGTGTACAACTAGTTATTTGTGTAACTTTTTTATATTACCTATTTAAAAAGTCTGCTTAAGGGTTTCTTATCAGTTGTTATATTTAATATTTTTGTTTAGATGTTTTATTTAAACCTTCTAATCTGAAACCCTTGTACTAACTTCATTTGATCATTTATATCTAAATCCTCATCTCAACCTTTGAACAATTTTATTCTTGAGAGTAAACTTACTAGAATAAGTTATATATTTTCTATCTATTGCTAACTTGAATTTTTTGTTATAATCGAAACTAACACTTGCAGTCAGAATTATCTATTAAATTGCTATTATCTTTGTAAAGTTTATCTAAACTCTAATATCTGTCTTTTTGATATCTTCTTTATTATCTTCTACTAGTTACAACTTAGAATCAACAAACTCTCTAGAATTTAAATCTAGATGGTTTAGTATAATATACTTATTTATTTTTTTCTTATAGTAATTCTGATGACCTAGTTAGTTATATGTTCCTCTATACATCTTATCATTCAGTTTATTTGATAATTTTTATAAAGGTGTTTTATGAGTTTCTATCAATCCAACAATATTATCAAAAGTTTGTATTATCTTTTTATTTGGAATTTCCAAGTAGGTTTTTATTTTTTGTTTTTTAGTCTTCTATATCTAGTAATCTTATTACAAGTTTGCATTAAAGACTTATGCAACATCAGTTTTTTACATTTTCTATATACATGTAACATTACACTTTACATAGATGCTCTAAGCTTTCAATATTAGTCAGAATCTGACTTGATGTACCTAATATTACAAATGCTCAAAACTTAACTAATTGACAAAAGACAGTTATTATAATATAGGTATAATTTCTAAAATTTGTCATTTGTGGAAATTGAACCTTAGACCTGCCACTTAAAGATTGACAACTTATTTACTTTACTAGGTTGTTATATTCTTACAATTATATTATATCTAGTTTTAATAACTATATTATTTTAGAATCTAATTATTATATTTTAATTACAATGCTATATTTAATTCTAACAATTATAC